TCTGCCCTATGCCTTCTAAATTGGCTGGCGCAGTATGTAAAGGCCAGTTTTGGGGCCAAAATTGGCGAGACAAAACAGATTTATCTGCCCCAGTATCTGTGATTCCTCAAAATTTTTTAAGATTGATTTTAAGTTCCAGTAGGGGACGCTCCTGCCAGATTAATTGAGCCCAATATACTCAGTCCGGGGGACCTGGAAGTTGAGGTTTTAAGTGGGCTGTCCGCGGAACAACAAGGTAAAAGTACTAAATGTCTTTAGTAGAGAGCCGAATAGCATATTCTGATTTTACAGTGACTGATAGCTCATCTCTAAAATCTGGATCAACAACTCCTGGTATTACTTGGATTCCCTCTTTAAAACTAATTTGTGCCAAAATTAGGCCTATATTACCTGGGGGTAATGGCCCACAGATTCCAGTAGGAACTCGCTGTAGTCTCATTTGAGGTGTTAAATCTGTTACCATGGCTGGCCGTACTGTCTGGGTGGAGCTGACTGGTAATAATGACCATCCGCCATGGTGGATTGTGATGATGTCAAAGCCTATGACTCTAGCTTTTCCTCTGCACCGATTATTTGGTGGTCCTGGGGTAGGCCTATATTCCATTTTTTGGCCCTGAAGAAGGCGGAAGTGAAGTCAGAAATGGAGGCAGGTCACTGCCATATCTGTTCCCATTCCCCTTGCCATGAAGGTTTTTGTTCTGTAATGCCACTGGCGTGAACCAGGAAAGGTTTCTGCCCTGTTGTGCGCCAAATGCCCAGTCTTACCACAATTAAAACACTGCCCACGGGAATGACGTCTCTGGGATTAGAGCTGAAGTACCTGCTTTAAAGTCAAGGTGAGTGTAAAACCTTGTGATTGTGTGGGACCAACATCTGCACAAAGGCGAATGAATTCTGAAACTGTGCCTTTTTTTTCAATGAGGTGGGAGGATGTCTTGACAAACTTTATTGGCGTTTTCAAATGCTAGCTGCTTATTTTTTGTTTGTTTCTCTTTTTTTAGAGAGAGTGAGAGAGGAGAGAGAGAGAGAGAGAGAGAGAGAGAGAGAGAGAGAGAGAATATTTTTAATATTTATTTTTTAGTTCTCGGCGGACACAACATCTTTGTTGGTATGTGGTGCTGAGGATTGAACCCGGGCCGCACCCATGCCAGGCGAGCATGCTACTGCTTGAGCCACATCCCCAGCCCATGCTAGCTGTTTAACTATGAATTAGAAGCGTTTGAATCTCTGATTGACCTGTTAGCTGCCTGGTATAGGCATGCTACAAAACTGGAGAATTGTTCTTCCAGGCCCTGTTTTATTTGATTGAAAGCTAAACTCATTTGATCTCGGGAAGAAATTTAAAGCCAAGCCTTTTTGGCACATGCAGTGATCTGATCACAAATGGCTAAATCATAATTTAACTGTCTCCCTAGGTCCGCGACCTGAACTTAAGGTTGCTCAAATGGCTAAATCATAATTTAACTGTTTCTCTAGGTCCGTTATCATTTCTAAGGGAGCTTCAAGATTTTCTCTCTTGTTTCTTTGAGCCTGTTTGGTACAATATCAGTCCAGTGGGACCACCAGAAGAGATAATCACCCCCAGAAAGGCAAGCATTTGCCATTGAAATTCAATCATTTGGGAGTAAAGGCTCCTGGCATAACGAATTGAGTAGGCTTTGTAAAAATGGCGAGTTAGGGCCACAGGTACCACAAGCATTTTTGAGTTTTTTTAGAGTCTTAAAGGGATCTACAGCCTGCACGTGGACATGCGGTTTTGTTCGTTAATCTGTTCAAAGACTAGAAAAAGCTGAAAACCTGTAATGTCTTTCCCCACTTCCTGTGCTCTTCTAAGGCCACGTTGTAGTGACGTAAGCATGGCAACCACCAGGTCAGAGTAATGATAGAACCTCGTTCTCCTGGAGGAGAGCATCTGAATTTGGATGGCGGATGCTGGCCCAGCTAAATGTAATTTAGCAAAGCCCTCCCCAGGTCTTCCTTACCTGTAGACTGAGTCCCCTCAGACTGTGAGTCTTTTTCATCTGTATATTCCTGTCTGTCTTGGTTCTCTCCATTTTGAATTTGCCTCCCAGAAATCCGATGGGGGGAAATTGTGCTCTGTATGTGTAATAAGAATTGCAATGTTGGGGGCTGGGGATGTGGCTCAAGCGGTAGCGCGCTCGCCTAGCATGCGTGCGGCCCGGGTTCGATCCTCAGCAGCACCACATACCAACAAAGATGTTGTGTCCGCCGAGAACTAAGAAAAAATAAATAAATGTTAAAAAATTCTCTCTCTGTCCCCCTCTCTCACTCTCTCTTTAAAAAAAAAAAAAAAGAATTGCAATGCATTCTGCTGTCGTGTATTTAAAAAAATAAAATCAGTTTAAAAAATTCGATCTGGGCTAGTCTCTTCTCTGGAACACGCCCCTTGGCACTCCTCTAAAGCTGCTGACTCTTGTCTGGCTCAGCGGAGACTGAGCTTTTGATTTTAGATCTTGCCCTGATGCAGCTGTCTGCGACTGGAGAGTTGGAGGCTAAGCAAAATTTGACTCTGTCCTCAATCCCAGTAGGAAAAGACAGAACCACCTCGAAGCAGCCTTCGGCTGTTTCTCCTGCTACAGACTCGTAACTTCTCTCTGAAGCCATTTCAACAAGTCTTGGGGACCACTGGTTCTGAATAGGTCATCAAAGAGACACATTTCTAATGCAGTCCACCTTTTGAACACTCTCTATTGTACTTTTAGACAGTTGGCAGAGAGATACCCTTTATATAGTTTTCTACCTAGTTTCTCCCAAGTACATAAATCCGGTACGACTTGTTGACCTTTTTCAGGAACTGGACTAGCTGGGTCCTTTTGATTTGCTTTCCTCTCCCATTGGTTATTGTCACCAGAATTGTTAAATACATTTCTTTATCTGAAGTCATGGAACTGCCCATGATAATTCTTTAATGTCCTTGGCTCTAAAACTGTCTGCTTCCTCTGTGATCCTTCAAAAATTCAAGGTAAATTAAATTTCTATAGCACTCTCTCTCTCAGTCGTCCTGGAAATTCACCACCGAGCGGTCCCTCATTCTGTTGCCATCTTCTGCCCCCGACCTGCATGGGCAGCTGAACTTAAGGTCGCTCATGTGAATTTCCTGGGACACCAAATAAAACACACACACTTTACCTTTAAATCAAGCTTCAGGAAGGTTCCTCCACTCTCTACCTCAAGCTCCCCAAATTGGAGAGCGAGGAAAGTCATGAGAGGCTGGCAAGAGAGAGAGGGCACGTTTGGAAGTGAGTTTTTATTGGGGGGACCCTCATTAGAAAGTTCCATCCAAAAAAGGTCAGGAGGGGCAGGGTCACAAGGACAGGTGAGTGTAATTTGACCCAAGGGGCTGCAGGACGGCACTCCTACACATGAAGACACATCCTCTACCTCTAAGATGGGGACATGTCCAGGTCACTACAAAAGTAGATGGACAGAGCCTCTCCACCCACGGGAAGGAGAATGCCAGTCATTCAGCGAGACAGCTTCCCACGCCCACTGCTTGAATCTCAGCCCAGGAGCAACAAGGAATATAGCCTCCTCTATCCTGACATCTTTTATTTCAGATCATGGTGATTTTTAATGCAGATTGGAAATATTTTAAAGAGGATTTTTCTATCTAGGTTGATCGGGATATTTTTCTTTAGTTTTAGTGTTCTTATCTGATTTTTCACCTGGGGATTCTTGAAGGAGGTCCCAGGTGAAACTTGGATTAGGTAGCTCTGGCTGGCCAAGGTGACAACATTAGTTGTGGAACACCAATGGAATGTGGCAATATGTCCATGCTGCAGGGAGTTTGGTTTTAAGAGCCTATCACCATTTGCATGTGACTGCAGAAGCTTGAAACAGACTGGGGGTATGGGGGAAGAGCTTGTCCTAGAGGGTCTACCAACTACAGGAAATCGGAGAAAGGACAGATAAACATAGGCTGTCCTGCTAATAGTTGAGAGGTTGTTGAGAGGTTGTTTACCATCTAGGGGTGTTGGGTTCATTATCTTTATTCACCAAAGAATTAAAGAACAGGACACAGAGATAGCAAGCAAGCAGTAGGTTTATTGCAAAAGTGATGGTAACAGAGAGAGGAGGGCTCCGGAGCCCGGGGTACAGTTGGGGAGTTTTGACTTGTTCTTTTTATGGTCTCTGGAATATCCTCTTCTTTTTGTGGAGGAGGGTTACTAGGGATTGAACTCAGGGGCATTTGACCACTGAGCCACATCCCCAGCCCTATTTTATATTTGATTTAGAGACATGGTCTCATTGGGTTGCTAAACACCTTGCTTTTGCTGAGGCTGGCTTTGAATTCACAATCCTCCTGCCTCAGCTTCCTGAGCCACTGGCATTACAGGTGTGCATCACTGCTCCCAGCTTCTCCCTCTTCTTATCCCCTATCCAAACTCTCCTCATTATTATTTATTGGTTCCCCCATGTCCATAAGTCTGTTTTAGTTTTTCTGTTGGATCTGCTGCTTAAGCGCACAAGGATAGAAGTGTCTGTCTGGGTCCCCCACTTTCATCATTTGGGAAGTTGACCTCATGGGAAGACCCTCTGCATGCTCCTTTAGTCTGGCCCTGCCCATGACTTTCTCACTCACCATCTTGCCCTGGCTGCCTGTGCCTTTCTACATCTCCCTCAAGGTCACCAGGACATAACTAGAAAATGACTTCTGGCTCCACTTAATTTCTAAGAGCTCTAGAACATTTAAGACAAAAAATGATCAGAATGTTTCATTTGTATATCTACATGACAAAGTGCCAAGATGCCATATGGAGGGCTAGGGTAGACACAAAGATGAAGCATGGACAGAAAAATATCTTTAGAGGAAGTTGTTTTCAACCCTCTTGTGGACTAGAACATTCTCTTTGTCACAAATTCTAGGCAATGGAATGTTGGAACATTTGGGAATGTATGGAAATAGTCATGTTGAATATTCTGTGTTTACAGTCAGAACATGAAAAACCAATGATTTCCATCACCATTTTTTTTTTCAGGTGTGAGCCCTCGTTTATTACTTGTTTACAAGAACTGTACTTGGAATTGCACATTTGTATATGCTGCTGAACAGCCTCCGGAAACTCCAAGAAGAGTGTTCCCTAATCAATTCTATTTTGTTAATTGTTGTGGTGGTATGACTTGCAACTCTGGAGGACCTACCAACGTAGAAAGAGATTTTTTACCTCCACAGCTAATTGAGGAGGACTTTGTAGCAGAGTCTGCATATTTGGGGAAACCAAAATTTTTCCTGAGCTTTGCTTCCATCATTGTCAGTAATACAGTGACTTGAGATGGCCTCTTGGAGGTCCATTCATCTTCCCCTGTTGCTCAGAATGCTGCTGTTCTCTCTTGGAGACGCTGTGTCAGGCCTCCCGTTGGCCCCTTCATGCCTTGTTGTAAGAGCAAAATAAAGGAAAATGCTGTTGGTTGGAAACGTGCCTGAATGCTGGTTTCCCTGCAAGTCCTCAGGTTCTGCAGTGAGGCTGCTGCTCTTTTCTGCCTCCCTGCAAATTCAGGAATTCCTCTGTGGTTTCATCAGGTGAGCTGCTTTTGTTCCTCTAGGCACTTCTTATGCTCTGTAACTTTAGTGAGATGTTATCACACACCATGCAACCCACCAATTCTGTGTAGAATTGAGGAATGTTTTGTACATTCACAGATTCACCAGTCATCACCACAGTCCAGTTTGGAACACTTATGTGACCTCAAAAATAAACACTGAAGCTGGGTGCAGTGGCACTCACCTGTAATCCCAGTAATTCGGAAGGCTGAGGCAGGAGGATTGCAAGTTAAAAGCCAGCCTCAGCAACGGGAAGGCACTTTAACAACTCACTGAGACCCTGTCTCTAAATAAAATTCAAAATAGGACTGGGGATGTGCCTCAGTGGTCGAGTGCTCCTGAGTTCAATCCCTGGTTTCTCCTCCCCCATCAAAAAATAAATAAACCCCAGACCCCATTACCCACCCAGGCCACCACTGCTGCCTGTTTTCTCTCTATGGGTTTCCAATCCTGACATGTGCTAGGAATGGAGTTACAGGATGTGTGATTTTTTTGTCACTGACCTCTTCTCCTTAGCATAATGTTTTCAGGGTTCACCCATGTAGATGTGTTAGTTGTTTATTTTTATGCCCAAATCATGTTTAATTGGATGAATGCCACACATATTTTGTGAATTCCTTCATCAGCTGATGGACACTGGAGTTTTTGCACCTCTGAAAAGTGTAATGCTGCCATTAACAGCTGTGTTAGCTTTCTGGTGTGACTCACCTTCAGGCTTCTGGATAGGCCTTGTTACCTTTTTGAATGTAGCCTTTATGTTGGGCGTGAAGTGTTATCTCCTGGTTTCAATTTGCATTTCTCACATCACTAATGATACTGAGCATCTTTTCAGGTGCTTACTGTTCATTGCCTGTCCTCAGGAGAGGAATTCTGTGTAAACCCTTTGCCATTTAACCACGTGATTCTCTTACACCTGCATTGTAGGAGTAGTTTCTCCATCAATCATAGTGATCCCTCACTAGGTATGTAATTTGCAAAGACTGCACCATTGTAGGTTGTCTTTTCAACTTACTGAATGTCCTCTGAAGCCCATATGCTTTCAAATTTTGTGAAGTGTATGCCATCTATTTTTTCTGTTGCTGCTCATATTCTTTGCCAAATGCAAGGCCATGAAGGATCACCTCTGTTTCCTTTTAAGGCCTTCGCAGTGCCCACTCATAGTTAGGGTTTTGGTCCATCATGAGTTAATTTTCATATATGCCTGAAGTAAGGTTCCCATGGAATTCTTTTCCATGAAGTTTTACAGTTGTTCTAATGGTATTTGTTGAAATCCTATTCTATTTCCATTGCCCCAATGTATGGTCTCGACACCTTTGTTCAAAGTTCATTGTCTGGAGACAAACAGTGGTTCCCTCTGGACTTCTGGTTCTGTCTGCACACCAGTCTCACAGCATCTTGATTATCATTGCCTTGTATGAAGTTTTGAAATCAGGAAATGTGAGTCTTCCTGCTTTGTTCTTTTTCAAGATTATGTTGGTAGTTAGGGGTCCCTTGAAATTCCATCTGCATTCTAGAACCAGCTTGCTGATTTCTAAAAAATCCTCCTGAGGTTCAGACAGGGGTTGTGTTGAAACTGCAGAAAGACTGAAGCACTTTCCAGGAGGTGATATTGAGCCTTCTGACCTGTGAACACAGATGTTGAAAGCTTCAATTTGCTTCAACAAGGAGAGTAAATTCCATAGTTCACGTGGACCAAGTTTTGAACTTCCTTTGTTAAATTATTCCTTAATATTTGAGTCTCCTTGGTACTCTCATCAAAGGGAAGTGTGTTCTTGGTTTATTTGAGACCCCTCACTGCAGGCGTAGAGGAGTATAAATGTCTGGGAATGTACCCTGAAATCTTGCTGAGCACCTTCTTCAGATAGGCCCCTTCTCAGTGTTTTCATAGCATACTCTGTGTACAGGACCAGATGATCTGTGAATAGAGACAGTGTTACTTCTTTTTGCTTCTGAATGACTGTTGCTGCTTTTTCTTGCCTGGGCTGGAAGCCCTGGTGCACTGTGGAATAACAGAGATGGGAGCAGGTACGCATGCTCCTGATCTTGGGAGGAAGGAAGCCAGTCTTTCACCACAAAGGGTGAAGTTGGCTATGGACTTTGAGGTGCTTTATCTGGTTGAAGAAGTTCCCATCTATTTGTAGCATGAGATGGCCTTAGATTCATCCCATTCTTTATCTGCTTCTATTGAGATGGTCGTGTGATTTTTGGTTTTTCATCTCCTGATAGCATAGACTATAATAATTGAATATTTGGTGTTAAACCAACTGTTTATTCCTGAGGTAAATCCCGCTTGTCCCTGGCATGTAATTCCTTTGATATATTGGATTCCATTTGCTGGAGTGGTCTTGTGTTTTATGGGAAGAAGCCAACAGAGAAGGCCAGACCTTGTAGCGTGGCAAGTAGCACAGCAGGGAAAAGGCACGGGGCCAGGGGAGGACCTCCCCATTCTGGCCTGCTGTGGAGACAGAGCCTCCTGGAGGAAAGTCTTCTAGCTGCTGCCCTTGAGGAGGAGCACGCATTCCCCACACTCTTCTCCAGTCAGTCTGTCACTGTCCTCCACAGCCTGACAGCACCTGTGCCCTGCCTCCTGGTTGCTGTCTTGGTTTATCAAGCGTCCTTCTTTGCCATTGACATGCCCCCTCTCATCCACGCTTGGGCTGCCCTCCTCACTTGGCACTGCCTTCTTTCCTAGCATGGCTGCAGACACCACAGCCTGCCTGGCAGCGTTCCACCTTCCTTTAGTCTGTGATATTGCACGGCCTGTCTGGCCTTTGCAGCCTCCAGCAGAGTTAAAGAGAAAGCTGCAGTTGAGGGTCACCTGCAGCAAAATCACTGGTGGGGGCTGGATAAAATTGTTAAAATGCCAGATTTCCAGGATCCCCACTCTGGTCTTCTGTTGTGTCTCCTCTGGGTTGAGCCTAGTCTTGTGCATTTTTACCAACTCCCCATTCAGTATTCTTCCCCCACAGCTTCAGTAGCACTGGGGTGAAAGGTGGCCCACAACAGTGCAGTTAAGGGCTGAGCATCTTAACAGATCTAACGATGCTTCCTGGCAGGAAGCCATGCACCTGAACTGGTGGAGGATAGGGGAAGGGGAAGGAGCTACTGGGAGGAGTTGCCAGGGCAGTGCTAGACCTGGGTGGAGCCTGGAGCAACAAAGGTTCAGAGGAGTGAAGGTGCCCTCTGTCCCTACACAGGCCCCACCACCTCCTGAGGCAGCCAGATCTAGTGGGGAGGGGTGCAGGCCACAGGCAGCAGCTGGTATCTGAACTGATAGCTGTTTGTGGTAGTGTGGAATCACACATTTGCTGCTTCCAGAGACACTGAGGGTTACCCAAGTCACCATATGGGAGGCGGGCTAAGCCAAGTTCATGGTCCAGTGAGTCAGAGGTTGGAGAGGCACAAGGTGCTCTCCATGGGTCCAGAGTTCTTGCAGCATGCTCTAAGGATGGCATGAAACAGCAGCACCCAAAAGTACATGACCCTGCAGCCCAGGGACATAATGTGAGCCCAGTCACGGGGTTGTACCCACACAGGGAACTGGAGCCATCAAGGCAGAGGCAGGTTCACAAAGAGCCATGGCCCTCTTCTATGGTGGTCCTGCTCACTGTTGAGTGGCTCTGACCACAGAATCTGCTGAAGAAATCCCCCAGGTCCATGTGGGTCAGGGGCTTGACAAAAACTACTAAATCCTGGCCCTCCCCTGCTGACACCCACAGGGCCTTCCCCTTTGGCTCCAGAGCCTGCACCAGGGCTCCACCTGGACAGCCCACCCAGCCCACACCATCCCCAGTGCTGCAGGGCCTGCTCTCCCGACCTTCCTTGGGAAGCCTCCTCCCTCCAGACTCCCCTGGTGGCTGCCTGCAGATCCTGCTGAAATTCGCCTCCCCAGCAGACTCACCCCCTCAGCCCCAGGGGTCCTGTCTACAGGGATAAGCCAAGAACCAGGCAGGCATCAGATTCCCACCGTGTGTGCACTCCATGACGGGCTCTGCTGGGCATCCTAGATCCTGTGTGGTTCTGGGAGTGCCTCCTCTTGGGTCCACGAAGCCCTGAGTTCACGCAGCTGGCTGGGCCTCGGAATAAAGCAGAACCCCTGGCTCAGGGTCAACCTCGGGCACAGGGGCAGTTCAGTCCCTGCCTGCACCTGGTTGCGGTTCTGGGGGCAGGTCCGTCCTGCATGTGTGTGCCCAGAGCCCCACTCCACAGGGCAAGCGGGAGCCACTGCTGAAGTCCTCTGCCCTGGCCGAGCTGGCCCCAGGGAGCTGGAGGAAAGATGAGAGGCAGTGCTGATGCAGGTGAGCTGTTCTCCTAGGGACTGTTGTTGGAATCCACAGGCAGCCAAGTTTGTCGAGGCCTAACCCAAAGAGAACAGGAGAGGAGAGAGGCAGAGAGGAAGGCCTTGTCTTAGTCAGCTTTCCTGCTGCTGTGACTGAAGGACCCGACCAGAACAACCACAGGGGAGAAAAGTTTAACTGGGGGCTCATAGTTTAGAGGTCTCACTCCATAGACAGCAGACTCCATTCCTCGGGGCTCATGAAAGAAGAGCGTGGCAGAGGGAAGCCCCTCACGATGATCAGGAGGCGCAGAGAGAGGTCTCCTCTTGCCAGGTACAAATACATAGCCCAAAGCCACGCCCCAGTACCCACCTCCAGCCACACCCTGACACTTCAATTTCCACTGAGTGAATCCCCAAAAGAGGGTTAATTCACGGGTTGGGTTAAGGCTGTCACAACCCAATCTTCTCCTCTGAACCCTCTTGCATTGTCTCACATGTGAGCTTTTGGGGGACCCCCACATCCAAACCACAGCAGGAATGGAGGAAGAAAAGAAAGCAAGCTGGGAAGTTGTACAGAGGGGTTCCCCTGCTCATG